CACCACTTGAATGAATGTGAACCCGGCCAACACACAACACAGGTTTTGGTAAGGCAAGATATGAATAGTGGAAACTGGGTGTAAAAGGCATGGGGGTGTTCTCTGCACTGTTTGCTGAATTTTTCTGGAAATATAAAATTTTCCTATGAAAACAATCTATTAATTATAAAATAATAAATGGGAAGTAGAGAGTAAGTAGAAATATAGATGAAATAAGAATATACAATATTGATAAATGTTGAAACTTGGGGATAGGTTCATCAGTTTATTATACTTTTCTGTTTAAGACTTTCCACAATAAAGTTTTAAAAACTCCAGATCAAAAAATTATATATATAAAACAAAAGAAATAAACAGGCTTTTTTTTTTTTTAAACCCTCATCCGAGGATATTTTTTCCATTGATTTATAGAGAGTGGAATCGAGGGAGGGGGGAGAAGGAGAAAGAGAGAGAAAGAGAAAAAAACACACAAACATTGATGTGAGAGACACATTGATTGGTTGCCTCCTGTACAGGCCTTGACTGAGGCTGGGGATCGAATCTACGACCCAGGTATTTGCCCTTGACCGGAAATTGAACCAGTGACCCTTTGGTGCGAGGGCCAATGCTTTAACCAGTGATCCCACCATTCAGGGCTGAACAGATTTTTTTTGAAATAAGTATTAGATTATTAATCAGAGGGAATGGTTGATTCATACTTGACAGAGAGTGAATACCCTTGTTATCTCAGAAACATCCATCCCTCCGGGAGCAAGGTGGGCATGGGCACAGGTAGGAAAGTGACAAAGAAATACTGGTAGGGAAATATGTTTACCCTCACTGGTTCAAAAATGCCAACGTACCCTGATACAACTATTTCAGGTTTTAAAACGCTGTAAACACCTGGAGTTAGAACAGATTTAAGGACAGATCACTACATCCTGTGAGAAGAACAATCAGCACCAGCTTTCCAAAGGGTAACTGGGACCAAACCCTAAATCCTAGAACCCATGGGCCACTGGCCTAACTGCTCTGTCCAAAAATAAAGGGTTTGACTAATGATAATGGACTGAATAAACACAGGGATAGCCCCTTCAATATGAAACCTATACACAATGATCAAAAGACTCCCTCACTGATGAACAAATTCTTTTTTTGTTAATCCTCACCGGAGGATATTTTTATATTACTTTTAGATAGAGTGGAAGAAGGGAGGGAGGGAGAGAGAGATTGATTGGTTTGCCTCCCACATGGTCCCTGGACCAGGCAAGGGAACAAATCTGGAACCCAGGTATGTGCCCTTCACCGGGAATCGAACCTGAGACCCTTTGGTTTGAGGGCTGACGCTCTAACCGTTTAGGAACACCGGCCAGGGTGATGAACAAATTCCTAATAGCACTGGGAACCACCAAGAGAGCAGACATTTTGAGGAAGACAAAGAGAGACCGCAGGTGGTGACCACAGATCCAGTTGGAGCTCTGGGCAGGCCTTGGAGACCAAGCCGGGCACCTTCTCTCCCTCCCACGCTTCCCACTGCCGCTGGAATCCTGCATCCTCCCCTCCACTTCAGCCAGCGCCCAGCCTTGTACCCTAGGGAACACAGCAGAAGCTCAGACAGGCTCTTATTCTCCGTACAGCCTCTGTCCCCTTGCTCTCCACCCCTCCCCAGGCCAGACCAGACCAGCACCGCCTCAGGGCCCAGCATGCTCCTCCCTAGCCTCTTCATCCTGGCCCACACTCCCCTCAGCAAAGACACCTGCTGGCTTGTCTCCACACATAAAACCCCATTGAAGCCATGCTCCCTTTTGGCAGCTATCCACTTTTGCAACTCCCCTCCATGGCTAAACCTCTTAAAATGCCTTATTGCTGCCCCCCACCCCCATCCAGCTCTATTCTGGCCACTCCAAGGAGACTGTGGTCACCAGTGACCCCATGTGGCTGAGTTTAGCCATTTTTCCTCCATTCTAATCAGAGCTGTATCCAACCCAGCCAAGCACCCCTGCTGTCTGAACGCCCTTATCCTCGCTGGCTAGCATGACTCCGAGCACCCCTTGCTCCCATGACTCTGAGCACCCCATGGCCCCATGCTCCTCCCTTCCCAGATCCTCTGCAGCTGCACCTCTATAAACACAGCCTGCTCCTGGGCTAGACCTGAGCCCCTTCTCTAGCTACACAGTTTCTCCAGGTAACCTTATTCAATTCCATGGCTTTAAACACCTCTGACCTCATCCGACACAGCAGACACACACACACACACTGTGGACACACATACAAAACTGGCACCAGCACCTGCTACCTCATACTCAATCATACTCATACTAAGTATCTCATACTCAATTCCTCTCAAAATTTTACTGTCATATGAGTTCCAAAAATATCATAAAATATCTCCAAAAAGAAGAAAAAAATCTGGATACAATAAATAGTGGTGAATAAAATAACCAGTAAAATGTATACTTTCAACTAAATATGGTTGTTTGGAGGGAAAATGAGAATACAGAACCAAGACCACAGAGGGTCTGGCCCTGGGGAGCAGAAAGTAAGGAGCTAGGAGAGTAGAACACAGGGACTGATCAATTCAAAGTAGTTACTGAAAGATAGGCTTCAATGATTTTTAAAAGCTGAAAGACATCCACTAGAAGAACAGGGAAGAAAACAAAAAAGCTTACCAAATTAAAAAATAAAACAGAACATCAGGCCCAAATCTCAACTTACCAATAATCAGAATTGTAAATGGGTTAAATTCTCCATAAAAAGACAAAAGCTCTCAGACTGAGTTAAATGTAACTGTAAAATAAAGGGAGCCCTGGCCAGTGTGCTCAGTGGTTGGAGCGTCGTCCTGTGCATCAGAAGATGTCAGGTTTGATTCCCAGTAAGGACACATGCCCAGGTTGCGGGTTCAGTCTCTGGTTAGGATGCATGAGGGAGGCAATTGATCGATGTTTCTCTCTCTCTCTTTAAATCACCCTTCCTCTCTCTCTAAAAAATTTTCTTTAATTAAAAAAAGAGGCCCTGACCAGTTTGTCTCAGTGGATAGAGCATCATCCTGCAGACTCAAGGGTCCCGGGTTTGATTCTGGCCAAGGGCATGTACCTTGGTTGCAAGCACATCCCCAGTGGGGACTGTGCAGGAGCCGGTTGATCGATGTTTCTCTCTCATCGATGTTTCTAACTCTCTATTCCTCTCCCTTCCTCTCTGTAAAAAATCAATAAAATGTATTTTAAAAAAAATTTAAAAAAATAAATAAATAAAAAATAAAAAAAGAGGATATAAAAGAGTTGAAAATAAGGAGATAACGACGACTTTAAATGGGACAAAGGGGGGGTTTCCTGTAAGAATCAGAGACACATATCTATAACAACATGCTCTCCAAATAAAAAGCAAAATTAGGCAGAGAAAGAAACAGACCTGTTGACTATTACAAATAAGCTAGATCCAGCAGGAGAACAAAGTAACCGACTGGTGGAGAGGGCACATTCTTCTCAAACCACAATGAAACACAAAAACAGACTAGATTAAGCCACATTGAAATCTCAAGATTCTAAAAAGTAGGTCTCATTAAGCGACTATATAACTGGAACTTAAAGCAATAAAATTTAAGCATAATTACAAATAAGTTAGCTCCCCATCTCCAATCTATCCACTTGAAAAACTGTAAACTTCCTTCTACATAACCTGGGTTAAAAAGGGTATCAAGAATGAAGTTAGAAACGATTTAGAAATGAGTAGCAATGAGAGCAACATGAGGCAAATCCACACTGAGAGGTCAAAGGGACCAAAGAAGGGCTTAGCCTCAACTGGAGGTATCAGGAAATATACATGTACAAGAATAAGCTCAGTCCTCAGTCCAGGAGCCAGAACCACCACAAAATGAAACTGAAGACAAAATGAAACTGAAGAAAGTAGAAAAAGTGAGGATTTATGAGGCAGAAACAAGAAGGCAGACTTGAACAATGGAGTTGAGGGCTGGCTGTTTGGAAAGACCTACTGACAAACTTTGGTACATTTGACCAAGATGAACAGAAAAAGTAACCAAAAAGCAACATCGAGAAACAATAAAAAACAGCTTAAAAATGACAAGAGAATACAGTGTCACTCTGACCAGGACATCGTGGTCCTCACACGAGCTGCTCCTCCCCCAGGTGCATTTGGAAACACAAAGGACAGATTTTAGCTTTTGCTTTTGTTTTGTTTGATAGTGGTTGATGTCCTGGGGGGTCCAGGAAGTTCTGAACAGCCTGTCACACAAGAATCTCCTGAAGTGTTAATTACATCTTCGAAGACAAACTCTGGTCCAAATTAAATGAACAATGTGGCAGGATGTTTTCATGTATCTATAACAGGCAAAAGATCCTATCTCCAATATGTAAAGAATAGCTACAAACCAACTTTTATAAGTACTAAACAGTAAAATAGGGGGGAAAAACAGAAACATAGCCAATAAACATATAAAAAATATACTCAACCTATTTGTATAGGTACCAAGATATGTAGGATAAGCATAGAAAGTAATCTAAAAGATCACACAACAAATTTTAACAGCAACAGGGAGAAAAGCTGGGAGGTGGGGGAGAAGGAATTTTCACCATTTCTTAGCCTGTATTTTTCTGTAGTGTTTTAATTTCTACAGAAGACAATGTATTCTACTTGAAGAGATGTTTAAAATCTTATTATTATTAATGTTCAAAATTATTTAACCTTAAGGATATTCATGGAAATGTAAATGAAAAGAACCTCTCTAATAAGTTTTCTACATCTATTTGATTTTACATTTAGATCCTAACCCATTTGCAATTTGTGTGAGGTATGCCATAGATGTTCACCTTACCCCAGGCAAGGGGAAAACCCAGTGTTGGGACCCCATTCACTGAGTAGCTGACCTCACAACTAGAGGCCTCCCGGCTGCTGGAGGTAAGCTTTCCCACCTGAGTCCCTGTCTAACGGGTCCAGCTACTACCAGAGCCTCATCGGAGCAAGACCCACTAAGGGACAGGCAGTGGGACCCTGAGGTGGGTACTGACCTCGGCCGGGTGCTGGCAGGCTGCTCAGGCTCAGCATGCTTCCTCTCTGCAGTTTGTCCAGCTTCTCCTGCAGCTTGCGCACCTGGCTGTCGGAGCGGCTGACACGCTGGCGTAGGCTCCTGAGCTCACCATTCTTCTTTTCCACCTGCTTCCAAAGGCAGCAAGCCCGGCTCCGGTTCTGCCGCGCAGAGAAGCAGTAGGAGTGCAGTGAGTCGATGAGCTTGCAGGCACCCGAAGCTGACAGAATGACCTCGTTGATGGACATGGGGCTGGCGTCGCTGTGCTCACTCTGCACAGCCTCAGCGGCTGGCTTTGGGGTGACGTCTGTCGGAGGGGCAGAGGGACTTTGGGAGGACTTCTGTGGCGTCGCAGTCAGAGATGAACTTGGGGGGCTCTGCCCCAGGCTGGTCCCACTGCAGCCAGGCTCTGTGTCTCTCTTCGGCCTCTTCCGGTCCACAGGTTCCCGGGGGACGTATGGCCTCTCTCGGGTGTGCCTGGAGGAGAAACTGTAAGAATGAAGTGAGCCAATAAATTTGCAGGCCCCAGATCCTGGGGGGGTAAAGTCATCCATGGAGATGCCACTCTTATCCACCAGGTCCTTGTCGGGGGTGATGCTGCTCTCATCACCAGCATCGCATGCAGGCCCATTTGCTTCGGCCTGGCTGCCTGAGGCTTTCGTGGCCAGAGCATCACCCGGGGGTCCCTGCGTAGCCTGCTCCTGACTGGTGGCTTCACTCTTCAGGGAAGCCCGCTTTAACTTGCGGGACTCTGGCTTAGTCTTCAGGTTCTCACTTGAGGGCGATGGTGAACCTGCATCTCCTTTCCCATCAGCTTCACTTGCACGTCCCCTCAGGCCCCCTGAGGCCTTTTTGGTGTCCTTTCTCCTGCTGCGGCCATGGCCTCCAGACCCCCTCTTCTTCTCTGTCAGGTGGAAGATGGAGGGCACCGCTGTGGGCTTGAGCAGGCGGTGCTGATCCTCCAGCCTTTTGGAGAAGCTGTCTTTGGTGAAATGCTCACTACAGAGGAAAGAATACTTAGTAGGGGTCCAGTTGTCCCTCTGAACAGCTTTTAACCACTGGATCAGACGTTTTGAGTCCTTCAGAGGGAACCTACAGGACAAATGGCAAAGGAATTAGAAAGTAATAATTACATGTCTCCACCTAAAATGATCAACTATAAAAGCAAAACAAGTATTTTTGAAAACACCCAAACCTATATGGACTTTACCCATTTAAAAATTTGATAAATACTTAAGGAACACATTCTACTTACACATTACTACTGGAATGGGAAGACGGAAGACCCGTTGTTTACTCTGAAGGACCTTACAGTTGCAGGGCAGATAGGAATGAAGGCAGATAACTCCTACCAGAATGTTAGGAGAAGCATAGGATAGCATACAGACATCAGGAAAAGCTCCAGGAAGCCCTGGAAATAATTCCTAGAAAGTCATAGCCCAGCCACCCTGCCAGTGTGCCTGGGATGCAGGACTTTGGGTGCTAAAAGTGGGATGGTTGGTCGCCCACTTAGAAGCCAGACCAGGTGTGGGCCAGCAGAGCATCCCAGAAGCCCAGCACTGTGATTCAAGCAGCTGAGGATGGGAGATTAGCTCTCCGAGAACGTCAGACTCAAAGGTGTAGTTCTGTGTTCCTACTACACTCCCATCCCTGGAAGATGCTGAATAAGACGACACTGAATGGCCACTTCTCATTAAGACAAGATCTACTTAGAAAATGAAAAGAACCTCTCTAAGAACCTCTGACCAAAATGTGCACATGAGGCCATTTGCTCCCTCTAAGGTCATGTAACACACCTGAGGCCGCTGTGGACAAGGACAGGGTAGAATCTCAAACTTCAGGAAGTTCTCCTCGACATGACCTCCTAAACTTCCCAAAGATCCTCAGTTCCCATGCCCTTTGCCCCCACACCACAGTTAGACCACGGTGAATGCCAAGGTGAGCCTTCTCTGCAAGGACTCTGTCTCATTTTCAAAATGGTAACAAAACTTTTGGGACCAGAGGCTCCGAAGGAAACTGAGGAAAGCATGGTGGCTGCTCTAAATAGTCTAATGTTACTTTTGATAAATTGTAACCACTTAAAACTTACTGCACCACAGCAAGCTTTCCGTAAGACCATAAGTAACAAGTGTCACTCCGGCTTTAAAAATTAAATACCAATGTCCTGCCGCATACAGGTACACCCCTCCAGCTCACTGTGGGGGGCCTGCTGTGCCTACGTGGGCTTCAGAGGCCTCCTGAAGGGAAGAAGGCGAGACCCTCGCCCAGCAGGGCCCACAGCCCCTTGCAGCCTCCAGGGGGAAGCCGGCAGGGAAGTGCCACCCACTCCAGGACAGGAGGCTATCGGGCCCCGCCAGGGACTCACCTTACCGCTGGGGCACAGCTACCTTTCTGCACCCAGGACTGGGGACCCTTCCAGCCACTGAGCGCCTGGAGCGCGTGTTAACACCCGATGCATAAGACGCATTTGCTCCGCCACATTCCTGGTGGCAGAGATCAAGGCAGCCTCCCCCGCGATACAACAGGGACAAGTCACGGCCAATGGAGAGGACAACTGACCTAGGAAGAGGCTGCCAGAATACACTGCTTCTGGAAACCGGCGGCGCCAACTCGAATCAATGGAGCGCGGCGGCCGCAGGGGTGGGGGCGAGGGAGGTGAGGCCGCGAGTGGTCGCCAGGTGGTCGTGGGATGGCCTTCAAGTGGCCTTAGGGTG